ATAATCTGATCAATAATTTGATGATTTTTGTGAATTCTTTACAAATAGAGATATGAGTTTAGGATTTAGACCATGTAGTAAAATCCAATACATTGGTATAACGAGTAGAGATACCTATATCATTTATTGCGGTCATAATTGAATTTCTAAGACATAGAACTCATTTAACTAAGTTGAATTTGCATAGAGATATGAAATTTAATTAGTTGAATAGACTCAAATTGAATACAATAGGAGAATTCGATCGAACACTACATTAGAATTGAGTTTTAATTTGAGATGTAAAGGTGATCAATTGATGAAGTTATTGTACCCTAACATCCATTTATTATTTGATTGTCCAACCAATCGTCTGAACATTCATTTATTTTCTAGAATTTAGATTAAAACCTAGATTTTACAACCTTTAATTTGTTTTAGTCAAATAGTAGTTAAAGAAAAATTGAATTAAGTCTTAGAACATAGTCCTTGTGGGATCGACAATTCGGACTCTTAGGTCCACTATTACTTGTTACGGATCGTACACTTGCGAAACAAAATTTTACAACAAGTTTTTGGCGCCGTTGCCGGGGAGTATTTCTTTTAGTCTTAATTTATTTTTTTTATTTTGGCTATTATTTGATTAGTTTATTTTTCTTTTATTTACAGAAAAGTGTGTTCGTTGTATGCTCCGTGCCCAAGGCGACGATCTTGAACCATTTGATTCGGAGATAGAACGTACCTTCAGACGAAGACGCAAGGAATACAAACAAAAACAGCAACATCAAATGGCTGACAATCAACAAATCCATATCCCTATTCAGTCGATTGGGCAAATGGCCGCAAGAGTGGTGGCACCACCGGAACAACAGCATGAACGAAGGGAAATAAATGAAAGTGATTTGCCAGTATCAATGTTCCTGACACCTATTGCAGCACCCATGCGCTCCAGTGTCGTATATCCAGATTTTAGGGTGAATAACTTTCAGATCAGGCCAAATTGGATTAACTTGATGAGCAACACCTTGCAATTCTACGGGCTACCTCAAGAGAATCCAAACACGTATATTTCTAGATTTCTCAGAAACTGTCAGAACTTTCATGCTCCGGGAGTCAATGAAGATGCTATTAAATTACGACTATTCCCATTTACATTGAGAGATGCTGCATTGGAGTGGTTAGATGCTGAGCCTCACGCTAGCATTACTACATGGGAAGAACTAATCAGGAAGTTCTGTAATAAAATTTTCCCACCAGCGAGGGTAGCTAAAATCAGATTAGAAATTCAGACTTTTCAACAGAAAGAGGGAGAAAGCTATCACGAAGCATGGAATAGGTTTAATGAGTTGATGAGAAAATGCCCAAACCATGGAATTACTATAGGTAATCAAGTCCAGTACTTCTACACTGGACTTACACCACTGTCAAAATCTCAAGTCGATGCCTCAGCTGGAGGATCAATTATAGGAAAATCTGTGCAGCAAACCATGGAACTGTTTGAGTTGATTGCCACTACACATTCCATGTTCTCATCGGAAAGAGTGGCGCCACCGAAGACAGGAGGAATGTATGAGTTAGACAGCGCAGCAGCTACCAACGCCCAAATAGTGGCATTGACAAAACAAGTGGAGTTATTGGTGAAATCACAAACGAAAGGAACACATGCAGTGACAGCTGGTCCATCATGCGAGAACTGTGGGGCTAATCATCGGACAGAAAACTGCACATCTATAGGCTATCCCGACGAGCAGGTCAATTTTATTCAGAATGGGTCTCGAAATCTTAATCTATTTGCTCAAACATACAACCCAGGATGGAGACAGCACCCAAATTTCAGATGGTCAGATAATCAACAAGGGAACAGTTCAAATAATGCCCAACAAGAGAAAAAACCAAGTTTGGGGGAGATGTTCAACCAGTATATGCAGAAGACTGACAAGGTGTTTCAGCAGATTGACACTAATTTTCAGAATCAGCAAGCACCAATCAAGAAGTTGGAAACACAAATTGGTCAAATAGCTCAACAGCTTGCAGAACGCCCACAAGGGACATTGCCAGGAAATACAATGGTCAATCCAAAAGAGCAAGTGCAAGCTATAACTACCAGGAGTGGGGTGCAACTTCCAGAAATTCATGTGAAGAGACCTGAGCGAAAAGAAAAGGAAAAAATGGGTGAAGAGGCTGGGAAAGAAATAGAGTTTGAACAACCAACTGACAAGGAAAACGAAAGGAAGGAAACACCTGCAGTGAGAGCACCCAGCCCCGTGAAGGCTTATGTGCCACCAATTCCATTCCCTCAAAGGTTACAAAGAAAGAAGTTGAATAATCAGTTTGCCAAGTTTGTGGAGATTTTCAAGAAATTGCACATCAATATTCCTTTTGCAGACGCAATTGCCCAAATGCCCAGCTATGCAAAATTCTTGAAAGAGATCCTATCTAACAAAAGGAAGTTGGAAGAACATGAGATAGTATGCTTGAACGAGGAGTGCAGTGCAATACTATTGAGAAAACTACCTCCTAAGCTAAAAGACCCAGGGAGTTTCGCTATACCTTGCACAATTGGTTCTAATTTCTTTGAACATTCTTTATGTGATTTAGGTGCCAGTGTTAATTTGATGCCTCTCTGTTTACAGGTCTCTTGGATTAGGAGAAGCAAAACCTACAACAATCTCGTTGCAACTCGCAGACAGATCGATCAAACGACCAAAGGGAATTATTGAAGATGTGCTGGTTAAAGTCGACAAATTTATTTTTCCGGCTGATTTCATCATTTTGGACATGGAAGAGGACTCAAATATTCCTCTGATCTTGGGAAGACCGTTCTTGGCTACTGGGAGAGCATTGATTGATGTGTATGATGGAAAAATGATTCTTAGAGTGGATAATGAGCAAATCATATTCAACGTGTTCAAGGCAATGAAACACCCATTGACTTCCGACACTTGCTGCCAAGTTGATGTTCTTGAAGAGCTTGTGGTGGATACATTCGATAAAGAGCATCACACAAATCTTTGTGAGGCAGAATTTGCACAATTGGAAGCAACAAATGCAGGAAAAGCTGAATGTATTGTCAACTTAGCCGAGCAACCCATAGGAAGAAGGCATTGGCAATATGAATCTCTAGGAGACAACCCTTCTCCCCCGGTACCCTAAGTGGAAAAGGCACCTACTCTTGAACTTAAGCCCTTACCTTCCCATCTTCGGTATGCATATTTGGGAGAATCGTCAACACTG